AGTGCCCGAATTAGGCCATGCAATATGTGTTTTATACCACATTACACGTTCATACTGTACCATTAATAGTAAACACACTGCATGTCTTCTTCTCGACGTCTGCTAGCGGTGTCCCGATTTCTTCACACAACTATGTAAAGACGCTTCTAGAAAACCTGATTGCGGCCTTCGTTTTCGGTGCATCTTTATCACTACTAGTGTGTCAAGTTCTTCTTCTGAACTGAAGCTAAATCGTCCAGTCTTTCGAGGCGGACCATCGATATCAGCGACCGAACTAGCAGACGACATATTGGCAATCACACGATCAGGTGACGAGTGACGTCATCCTCGAGCACTAGTTGATGTACTAGTCTCCCTAGGGAACTAGTAATTTCTACTATGGTAAATTTAGCCGATAACACGTGATCCTGTTTTGATCAATTACAGTACAGTATTAACGAGTGATGTGTTATAACATGCATTATGTTACACGTGTAAAATTATATCCAATCAATTGCAAATCCACGTAACGGATAAAATAGTATGCTATTTGAGCGGGATTACAACAATTTTCCAAACAAAGTGTTTAGATTGAGGAATTGTTTAATTTAACATTGCATACAACGCATTGCACACTAACAGGTAAATATGTATATATAGTCACACTATGCTGTGCAAATCGGTGTGTATTTATTGACTATATTTATCTTTTCAGGACACAAGGGAGAAATCAATTGTGTATAAGAACCAATAAATCTAAAGCAATGGTTGAAGTCCAACGAACGCTCTCACCACTACTTTTGAAATAACAATAACAATAAAGATACAATAAATTCAGTGTATACCGTCTTTATTTGTTGAATTATGAAATAACCTGCAATTAAACAAATCACGTATAAATATATCCTAATAATACAGACTATTCTGACCATTCGGATCGTTTGAGCCACAGTCTCTTTATCCCGTGTTTGAGCTTAGATAATTATTGTATTGAAAAAAAGAGTAGACCCTTATTGGTATAGCGATTTCGCTCACTCGACCGAACAAAATAATAAACGTGGACTTAAAAGTAACAGTACTTATTTCAAAACGTAATGATTTTCGCTTTTTCAATATCTACTATTATATCGACTTGTACTAATTTGTGTTCGAATTCTAAAACAATACATATTAATTTAATAATTATTGGCTTAGTATGCCCGAAAATAAAGAATGACCGAAGTGCTTATAGTTTTTGTAGTAGGCACATCGTAGCAGGCATTCAGATGTTATGATTGTGTTGAGTAAATTAATTGGAGGGCTAAGACTTATTTATGATAATATTGTTTATATGATACAAAATTAAGTATCATCACTGTCAGTTAAACTAGAAAAAGGAAATTGTCATAATCTTTGAAAGATTTGTGTACGTGTACTGACCGATTAGATTGTATCTCCGGTTTCGTTTAAATAAAGAAACATACTTTTCTTTGGTGGGATGTGAAACGGCGACAAATTTAGTCATCTTATATAACGGACAATTGAAACTGATCCTCCCATATTCAATTTAGGACTCAAGCGAAGATGAAATATTTAATTACTGTCCTGCGTCTTGTCAAAGAAAATTAAATTTCAAGAATGACCTATTGTTGCTGATCATTTTCTGCTATTCCCCACCAAACTATATTGATACAAGAACTTTCTGATCGCTGATGCCTATCTAACCCTCCCTACCAAATCCTACATTTTAACATGTTTATAACAAGCCCCGGATACCAGCGCGTATTTTAACCATTACTGAAAATAGGAAACCTCTAATATTCACCTGAAAGTGTGATTTGCGTTTACAAATGCCATAAATACAAAAGATGAATCGAACACTTATTTACTTGCTCATAAATAATTCAATGCTTTACACTTGACATTGACATGACCTTTCTAACCTCTGCCTTTTAATAATCAAAGATGAATTCTATGTCAACTCCAGAAGTTGCACCCTGATTAATGCTGCTCAATCCCAGACAATGTTCTGAGCTGATCTGAAAAACAATGTCGGTTTACAAAATATGGCACAGTCACGTAGCTAAGACAATGCCAGTTTACAAAATATGCAACAGTTACGTAGCTAAAACAATGACAGTTTACAAAATATGCCACATTTACGTAGCTAAAACAATGCCAGTTTACAAATATGCCACATTTACGTAGCTAAAACAATGACAGTTTACAAAATATGCCACATTTACGTAGCTAAAACAATGACAGTTTACAAATATGCCACATTTACGTAGCTAAAACAATGACAGTTTACAAAATATGCCACATTTACGTAGCTAAGACAATGCCAGTTTACAAAATATGCCACAGTTACGTAGCTAAAACAATGCAAGTTTACAGAATATGCAACATTTCCGTAGCTAAAACAATGCCAGTTTTCAAAATATGCCAGAGTTACGTAGCTAAGACAATGCCAGTTTACAAAATATGCCACAGTTACGTAGCTAAGACAATGCCAGTTTACAAAATATACCACAGTTACTTAGGCTAAGACAACGCCGTTTACAAAATATACCACAGTTACGTAACTAACTAAGACAATGTCGGTTTACAAAATTTGACACAATTATGTAGCTAATACAATGTCGGTTTACAAAATATATCACAGTTACGTAGCTAAGGCAGTGTAAGTTTGCAAATTATGCCACATTTACGTAGCTAAGACAATGCCAGTTTACAAAATATACCACAGTTACGTAGCTAACTAAGACAATGTCGGTCACGGTTTACAAAATTTGCCACAATAATGTAGCTAATACAATGTCGGTTTACAAAATATATCACAGTTACGTAGCTAAGGCAGTGTAAGTTTGCAAATTATGCCACATTTACGTAGCTAAGACAATGCCAGTTTACAAAATATACCACAGTTACGTAGCTAACTAAGACAATGTCGGTCACGGTTTACAAAATTTGCCACAATAATGTAGCTAATACAATGTCGGTTTACAAAATATACCACAGTTACGTAGCTAAGGCAGTGTAAGTTTACAAATTATGCCACATTTACGTAGCTAAGACAATGCCAGTTTACAAAATATACCACAGTTACGTAGATAATTAAGACAATGTCGGTTTACAAAATATATCACTGATGCTGATCTTCGTAATTTTTTTCAATGATTTTTTCAACCCGTATAGCTGCAAACTATTGTCTAATAACACAGGCTGCACATACTAATACAATTAGTTGACTACATTTGGCTGATTTATAACAGGCTGCTCATTTATAACAACTGTTATAACAAAACCGGCCAATCAAAGTCGGCGTAAATTCACGATTGACAATTTTGCCTGAGTCTGATAGTTACCTCTCTGAGACAAGTGATTTAAACGATGATAATTATTTCAATTATTACTTTTTTTTTAATATGTACTAATCTACGATCATAATTCAAGTTATATTCACGTCCGAAATTTAGGGGGTTCGACGGAACCCCCCCCCCCCAAAATATGGGCCTGACCGGAGAGCAACTTTTCTAGCTGACTAGTTGAACCCGTTCGTATTCGGACAGAAAAGAGTCGTTTCCGGGTGACCTCATCAAAGGCTGATTAGTAAAAGCGGCGGAGCCCGTCGGAGAACAGGTGGCTCCCCGGAGCTTCGCGGATACAGGAACGGCAACTGCTTGTTTGATTGTGATAGTCCTAATAAAGAACACAGTATAACATTTCGTTGTACATTATTCTCTAGGTTGTCAGAGCTATACAAGTCATAGGAGAGAAATAAGCTTTCCGGTATTTAACACCATCGATAAACACACACACAATACATACGCCCTCAACGTCGTAATAACTATTTTTGAGCAAAAAAGTGATGTACTTGTAATGACTGTTTGGCCCTAAAGTAATGTCAGTTTTTACACTACATAATAGACTGTGACCATAAAATCGATGTTATATCCCATAAACCCACACCCACAAAAGCATAATTTCTGAAACTCTACACTTGTCTTGGTCTCTATATATGTAAATTTACAGAAAAGATTAATATGATTAGTTATCGTCAAGGTTTGTTCCACATACACAATGTCAATATTTCAAATTTGTGACTGGAAGTTCTCAACTATTGAAAACATTTGACCAACTGGGTTTATCCATATATTTTACGTAACCCATACGGTTCTCCGTATTTGAAACACATCGCTATTGATCAGGAAATAATTTTTTGTTTTGCTCCAATATTCAGCGTGAACGCTGTGTTCCGGTGAACGTTATTCAACTTAAATCTGTTGATCAGTCTTCGATTTGATTGTTGCATTGTTTACTATATAGCGTTTTACTGTATTCTAATTACTATGATTTACCTGCCCAGTGTTTGATGTAAAGTTTAAGCGATGATTGAATATACCAACCTTGACTGGCGAAGATGCACAAGGTACAAATGTATGTATACACATTTGTCCGAAATGAAAACAAAAAAATATTCAATGTAATGACAACAAATTTTATGTTCACAGATACTCCACAATAACAAATATCAAATGAAGCAGAGCATCACGGGTAATCTCTGGTTACTTGCTACGCTACTTTTAAAATTGCCTTCTACAATGTGTGACACATATAGTACATTAAAAATTCAAAGTAATTTCTTATAGTTTTCTGTCACTATTAACATGAAAATACTGTGTCCAAAAGAGGCAGGAGGACAACGAATCGCACATTTTGCTCTGTTTTTACGTTGCCTTTTTGCTTGTAACATATCAAAGAACATATCATCTGGCCCTGTACGTGTATGTAATGTTGTGTTCTTTGTTGAAAAATATTTGATAAAATTCTTGGGATTGTGCAAAGTTTCATTAGTGAATGACTTGTTTGTTTGTCCACTTTATTTTAATTCTTGTCACTGCCTTTAATGTTCGACGGTATTAGCAACGTTTCACCCACCATCCGTACTAAAAAAAATAAAACATATTGTAAATTAAATCAAGCCTGTACTATCGAGTTCTACATTACGACCAGCAACAATTCACTCACTTTGATATCTTATTTCTGAGTCAACTTGGCCATGCACCGAGCTACGAGCGATGAATTCCCGATGGCTCAGATATTAAATGTAAAAAATAAAACGATTTATTTTCGCACGATCAGTTGCACTGAGAAATAGGTGTAAAACGGATGCTCTGATTGGCCAAAAAAGCTGATCCATTTTCAAAATTGCGCTTCATATAGATTTCGTTATTCTTATAGTTTCTAGAATGAAACAGCATCGTAACAGACTAGGTATTATCACACAGTTAATACTTGCTTTGTTTTTTATATGGTAAATGTTTAATTTTAAACTTAAAAAAGACATTTCTGACTATCGCGATGGTTGTCAAGTTTCAATTACACAATCTTTAGAGCTTCTCTCTTGATTCTGTTGACGTCGAAAAGGACTAAGCGAGCCCTATGACTGCCCTATGAGTTTTGTTTTGGCTGAAGTTTTTATTGACTGAGTATTGTTTCGTAAACTAAATTTGAATGCAAGAAATTAGTTTGTTTATAAATTTAAGATTTTTTTTTGTAAATTATTTTTGTTTAGTTTGAGACGTGAATTTGTTATGAATAGT